TCAACTACGCTGCATTTTCGTGCTTGATAATTTCACGCGGCGTACATGCTGCAAATTGTGCCCCTCATTATTTGGTTGACCATAGTCCACCAATCGCATCGCCACGCTCGGAGTGAACAGGCAACAATGTGAATCGCCGTCTTCGGCATTCTGTACAATCCCAGTAACACAGACGCTCAGAAGATCCGGCTTTGCTGAGGCATACTACTGCAGCCAATTTCAAAACTTTCAATGGAGTTCACTACTCAGACTGGTTTTAATATTTCTGTGGAAACACAGCAGTGTGTAGTATTCAAAGAAAAGCCAGCCAAACCATACTAATCGTTGTCAACCGTAACGACAAATTCTCAAATGAGAATGCTTGGCTGTCGCTTTAAGTACATTTCAAGAACATCATCCAACGTGTATCTCGTATTTCGGCCTCTGGATATCCATTTAGACTGTCAAATCTATCCCCAAACCGCATGATTTCAAAGTACTTGTATGCTTTTTTTCCAGTGGGGTCCTCATCTCAGAATTAAACAGATCCTTCACTTCAATTCCGTAACCCGAGTGCAATTTCTGCCGTTCGCTTCAAATGAGAAACAGCAATATGCCGTGGTGAACATAAATCGCTCGCAATGCCCTCTAAAATGTTTCTGTCAGAGTTCCTCAAATTCACCTCAGTTGGGGTTTGAGTGTAGACCGGCCCTGCACTAAGCTGCATCGCGACAACCTTCAGTTAACCCAGTTAAACTATAACAACACACATGTTTCTGGAATACCGCTAATATTTTGCCTGTCTGTTGGACAGTGGCAGAATTGACCTTATGTAAACTTCATATTGTAGCTTTTTTATTTGAACGCTTATTGTTCAGTAAAACTATTAATTGCGTATTTGTTTAACCAGACTGGTGACATTTGGGTACGTTTGTTCGTCTATCTCGAAAAACTCTATTTCCACTGGACCCATGAGATGGGCGTCCCACGGACCGATTTGCTTGTGTTTTTCAGGCTTCAGGTAGAAAATTTCCACCATCCGCTGCCCAGCACGCTTTGTCGGGTAGACATCTGAGGTGATGTGAAATGTTGGAAATACCAGCAGGAATGGGTCCATTTCAGACTGCTTTCGGACCTATTCCATATTTACGCAGGCTGCAGTCGGCAGCTATTCAGCATGTGTTCAGTAAAACGGGCCACTGGTATGATGGAGATAACCGGGCATATTACTTACTATTAAAAATCGAAGATGCAGTTCATATTGTCAGACAAGAATAAATTGAGGAAACTTTACAAGGAAGAAGATTGTACGGATGAGGTAGAGACAAAAGTAGCCGAATGTCTAAGAAGGCTTCACGCAGGGGGAGAGAGTCCATAAGTGACCGTGACCTCTAAAACCTCCGTCCAGTCGCCACATATATCCATCGACACTATTGCTTGCCCAAAATACCTTACGTCTGATTTTGGAAATGTGCAACTCTCCGTAGCATGCGATAGCGAGGTGGTTGGAGGAGCAACTCAAGGCCATACAACATCAGCAGGAAAAACTATTGAGCCACCTTCGAATTCATCGACGACGCCAAGGAATTTAACCTTACCGGCATGTCGATGTCCCCATCAAACGCCGCATCACCTTATTACAAACGTTTCGGATTTTCGAGACTGTTAATTACACCTGCAAGTCCCCATCAACCAATTACCAGCAAAAAAGAATTCCAACGAACACACCTAAGGAATTTTTACTACGATGTTCAAGAAATGTGCCGTTCACTTTTAACAAATAACTCTATAGACAGCTAGACGGCAAACCCAGTGTGTGCTTCGACACCAACATCCATGTTCTGAAAGACGGTGGTGGATTTGCCACCGTTTGTTTCATTGCACGACAGCACTGACTGACGAGCCATTTTGTGAACATGAAATTTTATTGCCGATCCGGGATTCGGCCGCAGGGATATATGGTGGAAGGTTAATTTCGGAGAAATTTCTGTCATGCGTTCCCATAACCCGAAGGAGAATTCGCATGATCGAGGCAATAGGTAACGCCTATTAGCAGGCGGAACAACCGTCCCACGTCGTTATTTCTAATGACAAATTCGACTGTGATGACAGGTAACTATGACCATGAGGTACCATTTAGACAGCAATGTACACCTGACGCATCTACTCCAATTTTCAGAGTTTGCAGAGGCCGGTACCAATTGGAGCAGCATAATCCGACTAAGAGTGACTTTTTTAACTGTCATATTGAGCTGTGTCTCTTTACTAAACGGAGGGACAGCAGAGCATGTGGATGGTGGTGATAGCCTTGGTGATTTGGCGAGTAGGTACCCTAACAGAAGGACACTCGGTGTCGACAAACGATACCGCTCATAAATCACATGCGCAAGATTAAGAGGATTATGCTGGGCACAAGTCTGGAGACAATAAAATTATTCATAAGTTGCTGCCTCTTGTGTGGAGAATGCCAGTTAACTCGCGCAAGAGAATTATCTTTCAATTCACCGCGATGCCGATGGAGGAAGGATTTCAATTTGCGAAACTATCCTTGACTGACTGTGTGGCAGATTACATCTAGTTGCGTAAAACCATAGTGGCGGAAATTTATTAGATACTCTGTCGTTCTAAAACCTCTGGCTCATCTACTCCAGCTGTTAGATTTGGAGAGGCTGGCAACGATATGAACAATAGGATCCATTTTCTAGGGTGACATTCTTGACTGCCACTCTGAGTAGTGTTTCACTTCCAGCGGTGGGAAAGGAGGGCGAATGGACGGTGGTGATCGTCTTGCATGTAATGTTGACCAGTTTGTGGGTCCACAAACCATAGACTGGCTGCCAACACGGTGTTTTGCCGCAATTTGCAGGGCACCTGTTCGACCACCTATCCCGCCAAAGAACGAAAAATGCTGCCATTAAATTGTAGTGCACATTGATCTCAGACAAACATCGAAGAGCACAACATTAGTCACGAATTTCGCTTAGAGCGATGACGCCTCGAGTTCGCGTGGTACCCCTACAGATTGCACGTCGCACTCTCCGCATGAACATTTTTGCTTGAAGAGGCGAATTAGTGTGGCGACCACGGCAGCGACATGTGAAGGCGCAGACACGCACAAGCCGAGCATCCTCAGCTGCTTTGGTTTGCCGGTTAAAGATGATTTAGTGTGTAGAGGCTGTGCTGTACGCATCTTCATGGAACCACCCATGGCAGCAGGGTGTAGGTTTGACTAATGCAGTTGACTAGTAGTGAATCATTTTTGCCAAATGTTACCACCCAAAATGACTACGCAACAAGTGCCAGTTGACGTCGCATACGATCAATTTTTATGCTTGCTAATCTTCGTTATTTAATTAGTACAATATTGTTGCTGACGATGCTACATTTTAAGCCTTGAGTTTCAACATGAATCGGGATCAGTCTTGGATTTGCAACTTGTAGAATGTTAATTCCTAATTCTTCATCACCTGGTCTCTCATTCGAGCTGAACTCACGCCGCACTAAAGGTAGTCTCGCGAGGATGAATGCGGAACACCTATCCAAGCGATTATTCTACGGAGATGTACATGGCTGCAGGTTGTCGCTGACAAGAAGAGCAAAAGCGATGCTGCAGGACCACCTAGAGCTCTCTCAAACACGTACAAATCAACTCAGGGACCTGTGATTACCTCGTATTGAATCGATTTTCTGGAGAAGAGCACTGAAGACAGGAGCAACAATCTACAAAATCAACCGCATCGCCACTGCCAAAACCAAAATAGCGATCTATAAGCCCAAAGTGCCTCTGGTCCACATTGTCAACACCTGGTCCCTACCAACATGCGCCCTCTACTAGCAAATATTCTGTGCACAGGCTTAACTGGTCGGAAATATCCTGCTCCAATAGAGGAGAAACCCGACAATTCTATCTGTTGCCTCCACAAACGGCCCACCCGTCACATGCAAGTCCGTGTAAACCTGCGGCAACACACGATTTGTCGAAGCCTATCATCGCATATCTTTTCACGGCACATCTGCGTCGAATACGATGACGTTCCTCAACAAACACAACAAGAACGGAATCGGCATTGCTCAAGTTAATGCGATTACTTCGGCTTGGCTTCTTCTCCATGTGAAACTCTGCTCCTATGACACACATGAGATCCTAGCCGCGCACCCCATCATATAGAATCTTAATGTGTAGTTTTGGAGCCGGATCGTTTGCCTGGAGCGCGAAAACGGATTGTTTCTAACCCTCTCAGCCACGGCACCCAAGTTTAACTTCACTTGGTTGACCTTCTTGTAAAATACCGTGGTAAACGGGAGAGGGAAGAGAGAGTGAGGACGACTCTCAGCACATATTACTCACTATTAAGATTTTCCCTCTATTTCGGTTTGCTTAATATCGTCCTTTGTGGTGTTCCCACCTAATGGGATAACTTGGCCGTTCTTTACGGACGGAGAACAAAGCTACAACGATTCCGCACACATTTGGGTCCGATCCGCCTCCCCTTCTTCCTGTTTGAAATCCGGAGACGTTGTAGGCAATACAGGAAACTTAGTGAGAGGCCCAGTTACGGTTCACGCTGGGCCAGCCACCTACGTCCTATCCCGCATCCGGTCTTCTCGACTCTGTCTTGATGTCGATTTCAGGTAGGGGAGGAAAGAGTGTGGTAGGCATAGCGAAAGTTTGCTATCACTCTAAACTCATTCGTTCGCAAGTTACGTCCCTTTGGCCACACTGCTGTGAGCTAATGGAAGGCCGAAGTGTCGTATGCTGTAGATCCTTCTATTCCATTACAGTTGGGGTGCAGGGGTGTCAGCGGCGGGTTCACGTAATGGTCGTGGTGGTCGCTCACGTGCTTGCAGGTGAGACTGCGCATAGCGTCCACTTGCTAGCACTCAACTCTCACTTGTGGCTCCACGTAGCTGGGCTCAGCCCAGCGGCCACACCCCGGGCAACCGTCTCGACCGGCGGGCTAAACCAGGTGAGGGGGCCCTGTGCGCTGTGCCGTGTGCACAGGGTTTGCGGATTCCGCTGGATGGAAGGTCGGATGGAACCTTGCGTCGGCACCGTCGTGACGTGGTTCGTCTCTGCACGCCGCTGGACAGCCGGTGACGGGATGGATCTCCAAATCGACATCGCCTTGACGCGCCCACATACGCCGTCGGAGACCGCGGCTTACGACGAATTCGAGTCGCTCTCCACTACAATCCGCAGTCGTGGTCCAATAGTGGAGATCGGCCGTGCCACAAAGGCAAATGGCAGCCCACTTCAAGGTTTGCACTGCCAGCCCCACGAGGGGAAGGGCCTAGAAAAGGTGGCCTAAGCATTGCTGGGTAGCACGCCGTCTTCAGGATATCCAGGACCGCAGACGTATTATCATGGACGATACAACCAAAATCAAAACAACAACAACAACAATACCAATAACAACAACGACAACCATATTCATTCTTATAATCCTACCACTTCTACCTCATCCTCTGCCTATTCTTCTGCCTATTCTTCTCCTTCGCCACCTTCTTCTCCATCTCCTTCCCGTCGCCCCACTCGTTGTCACCAGACTG